AAATCCAATAGATATCAGCCAATCATATTTAGACTTTTAATTTTCCCAAATGTTTCCAGTTTAGTGTGCCATAAGCATCAGCTATGAGTGTGGTGGATGAAGGGTAGGCAGTCTATGGCAGTCTATTTTCTGATGCTGAGGCTAGTCCCAACCAGACATGATATGAAAAAGCAACAATTGTCAGGATATTATGTCTTGACAGGACGTGTTGATTTTTATTTTTGTAATGTCATGCTGGGTATACCCGACCAAACTGAAATCTCATCCACTCAGTATAGTTGAATTTCAAACACCAAATAAATTCTGACTCAAACAACTATTGGCTGTGGTTGTTTCGAGTCTCATATTTTTTGCCTTAAGTGTGGACAGACAAATTACTTGTCATTGGACAATAGTGGATTGTACTGTTATTTAACTACATGCTGTTTGTTCTGCTGACAAAACATATTTTGGAAAAACAACTGTCATTAACATAGATTAGACTTCATAACAGTTCTGAGTTTTGAAAATTATGATCTAGACCCATACAGAGCATGCCACTGTTAAGACTCTAAATCTATCCCTCAAAGCCTCATTTTCATCCGTGTTAAATTCAATATGATGTCCAACCTGACTAAGGTCTGTTGCACATGTTTAGAACACTCTCTCGTGTTTCATTAAACTGCATTGAACGTATATACTGTATTGATGCATCATCTCTAAACATTACGCTGAATAATATCCTCAGTGTGCTACTGTTGTTCTGTTACCTTCAATGACTAAATACAAGTTGGCACAAATACGATCACTAATACTGACTTGAGGCATTAACCATAATGCATTAGAGATTTTAAAAGTCTAATGATGCTATGTCCTCTGACCTGGATATATGTACACTGCCACAGCCCCAGGCATGGTCAAGGCATATGTGTTTGTGGGTGTATTTGAGACACACTTATGATAGGTTGGAAAGTTTTAATGCAGCAGGGCCTACAGTGACTCACTCATGCATCCGTAGTTCTATCTCTGCCAATCAGCTCATCTAGATAAACTCAGTTACACACCACTGGACAAACACTGATAAGAGTGGGCAATCTTCTCCCAAAGGCATACACACGAACACACACTTTTACATGCACAAACAGGTTGAGATGGAAGAAATACAACCACAGTCTTGATGATATAATCAAAACATTTCATACACCATCCTGTCAAGCAGTCTGTAAATTTGCAATAAATTGAGATGGAAAAACAGGCTTCCATATAAACATCCATCATGTCTTTGTAATGATTTAAAGTTTGTATTTATGTCTATATAGTGACCAAGAAACAGCTTGAGAGGATACAATTCTTCACACCTTTATGTATGCGGTTTTAGTGACGTTAGAAGACAATTAAACATCGCTCCAGTCTCAATCCTAAGGGCAATTAACCACTCTATCTTTAGAAACCCTTCCTACCACACACACACACACACACACA